TCTCCTGCACAACATATGAATTTGAGAGGGAAAGGACTTGATTGCTTATACAATATTTATAGGCTACTATTTGCAACCAATGGCTGTATAGACATTAAATAAAATTTGCTAATTAACGTTTGTAAATATCTAATACGATTTAACGTTTAGAATGACAAGGCAAAAAAAAATTTGAATCACATGAAAACCAGTCTCTCCAGGATGTCGCGATCGCAATTATTAACACAAATTCAACAAATCCCCGTGAATTCAGTGCAACTTGAAATTTTGACCAATTGCCTCAACTTTTACGCAAATTTGACCTATCATCGCCATTTCCCGCAAAACGTTGTGATAAGTCAGCTAACTCACTTCCTTGTTTACAAGACGTAGCAGACGTGTGTGACACCAGCGTCTCACACTTGCAGCAAAAGTTATAGTGGGATACAAATAATTTCAGGCTGTATTTTCAACCTGCCATAAAACGTATCCCCCCTTTATCAAGCACAGATGATGGCCTACTATTATATTACAATAATAAGTATTTAATTTAGTGTGTACTTTACATCAAGACTAATAACAGGGGTGAACATGAAGACGTGTGTGGCCCCCTCAATAAAACTGGTCTAGACCTCTCCCACTGCTCCTCATGGCCAGTCTGATACTGGTGTGCACCAGGCGTGAAGAGCCCAATAATTCCCTCAATCGATGGAGACTGAAACAGGGGAGTGAATATTGGATTAAGATTGATCAGGTAGACAGAAAATGTGCCCCTAAATGATTGTGTCTGTCAGTGTGAGTAGGAGATTATCTGCTAATACGTTCACCATAACAAGTTCATAATACATTTAGAGCAGTGTGTCTGTCAGCAGCCGTGGAAGCAACATTAACACATAGCACAATTAAATGTCAAGTCCCATGAAAAGATCAAACTCACTGTGTTTGCGTGTGTTTTAAATCTTGCTATATCTTCTTTTTCTGTTGCATAGAGCTCCATTGTTGTCCATTAAGAACACATCAGTGACCGACACTGTTGCACTGTGTGACATATTTCTTCATCACCATGAACACACACACACACACACACACACACACACACACACACAGTGTTTTGTCTCGATCCCACATACACCGTCCTGCTGCCCTAAATACTCACTAGCACCAAATGAGCATTCATCCGCCGCTGAAAATAGTCCCTAACAAATTTTCTATTTTCTCCTGTTTGAGTTACGTTTGATTAAAAACTACAGTGACAAGGAAAAAAACTGAGACTTTTAATAAAAATAAACTATTTGTTGTGTGTGTTGGAGGACCCAAAAGCAACGCTCAGGCGAAACAGGTTTTATTAAGGGAAAAAGGGGTTGAGGAAGTGGAGGTGAGGGAGAGGTGGATGCCGGAGGAACACGGGCACACGGGCCGAGGAGCAGGTGGGACCAAGGAGGCTGAGACGAGGGGACTGGGGAGCACCGGGGGTCCGAGGAAGAGAGGGGGCACGGGAGAACTGAGGAGTGTGGTGGCACGAGGGGGAGCCGAGGGGAGAGGGCAGGTAGTCGAGCCCAGCTGACTTGACAGAGGACGGATGTGAGTGATCCTGGGGAAAGGCAGGCAGGGTTAGTAATTGGGAAAACAGAAGGGGGGAACAGAGATGTTGCAGGACCAAAGCTTGAGGCAAGTAGTGGCACCAGGTCAAGAGCAACGAGGATCAAGCGGAGATTGCGTGGAGAACCGGGATTGAAATACTGGCTGAGATGGAGTGATTGCTGGCAGGTGTGGCAGGCAGAGGAGGCTGCTGACGAGGTGCAGGTGTGGGTCGTCAGCTGGGCTCAGGAGCAGAGAGAGAGGAGAGCACATGTGGGGGGAGAGGAGGAGACACAGAGAGGCAGGCAAAATGCAGGGTAAAACAGAATGCAAGAAAAAAGGAGAAATAAACAGGACACTCACCGTCAGCCGGGCTGCCACCACAACACAGGATTTACATTTTAACTATGATCTTGGGACAGGAAAAGTATTGAGAGTTGGACTAAAGCCCCGATCACACAAGTAGCCCACAGATTAACCTTGGAGAGACCAAATAGTCAGGCATGTTTAGCCGTTGACTCCCAAGTAGTTCACCAACTAACCCTTTCAGTATGCACGATGTAACCAAACCTCTACAACCACCTAGTTTTTGCAGATTGATTTTTTCTGTGCCACTTTCTGGTGTTACGTAGCCTGGTGCCTTTTCATTTATATTTATCAACACGTTCTCACTCCCAAGTCATCACAAATGTACGTATGGTCAACACCCCTCGGCTTCAGTTTGTAACGCACCGGGGGACCTTTTTGGCACCATAGATCAATGCAATAGGGGAAGCCCAGTAGCATCATTTATGAACGCTAAATGTAGGTGTAGGGTTCTGAACACTAAAGTCCAAGTAAGGAGGTGATTTTGGTGGACAGATCGGTCAGAAACTGGACTTTCACCCAGGAGACCGGTGTTGGTTTCCCGTGTGAAAAAAACAACAAAACAAACTATGAAAGTAACGTTACTTAATTTATGTAAGTAACGTAGTTATTGTAACCCAAAGCATGATCTGTTACATTTATATTTACTCATTTAGCTGACGCCAAAGCGAGTTACAATTGCCACATACGTCAGAGGTCGCACACCTCCGGAGCAACTAGGGGTTGCTCAACGACACATTGGTGGATTGTTTCACAGCGTTAACCACTAGTTTTATTTTCAATGTGTAAATGGATGTTGCATATTTATAGTTCCTAACTCTTACATGTCCAAAATCAACGCTAAAGGTGTACCCAGGCGTTAAAAAGCGGCACCAAGTGTGCTTGACTAATCATCTATATGTGACGAGTTGGGAGAGAGAATGTGTTGAAATTATTGACAAAAACAGAAATATAGAGTATTTCCAGCCTTATTCTTCAAGTCTATCAAATGTTTTGTTTGGCTGGTTTTGCCTGATGATGAGCAAACACACCTACAGTGAGCCCTTTACATTTCCTCTGGCGCCTCCATCAGGTTAAAAGTGGTTTAATTTAAGACAACCTCTGCAAATCATGAGAGTCCCGTTAGCCTGAGCTGTGCTTTTTGTAATGTGCTGATTTGCATGTTAGCAAACGTTAAATGTTAGCATGTTTACAGGCTAAACTAGGATGGTGGACATCACCTCCAACGAATCAGCTGGCTTTTATAAGGTTAATCCCAGTGACTTAAAAGATGCCTTGCTTCACAGCTCTCAGGGTTGTTTGTTTGTTAATGTGAAGGGAGTTTGAAGAACATTGATTTTTATCATAGGTCTTTGCCCGGTTCGTCTATCCTTTTAGTGAGCACATCATTATCACCTCTCAAACTCAAAATGAAATGGGCGGTGACGTGTGATTTTTCTGGCCCCGACGGGCATTATTCTCCCTGACCTAAAGCCCTGGATGCTCTTTAGGTTGAATTAACACCTCCAAATGTATGAACGCTCCCTGAGGAAGCTTGTTGATGTTTATCCACCTCTGCAGCACCGGCGAGTGTCAGTGGGAAGATTGTTTGAATATCCACTGACCCTGATCTGTTAAATATGCCTACAGGCTGTGGCATCATGGGATTACCTCCCCACCTGGATACATGCCACACGGGGGTTTTGTGATGTCTGATTTAAGGGGTCGGCTCAGATATAAAAGGCTTGTGAGTTTCACAGTGAGCGCTGTTGGAGCAGGAGAGCCACACTGCAGGCGGTTGATCTGCCTACATGTCATCGTTCAGCGCCAGGCAGCTAAATTAAGAGCGTTAGTGGCTCATTGAGTAAAGGGTTTCTTTCTTTCTCTCTCCGCTCATCTCAGGATAAATGGGAATTGACTGATGACCACTCAAAAGTTGATGCACATGTAGAGCTAATTATTCTGTCCCTTTCACAGCTCTCATTCATTTCCTCTCATCCTAATCCCCCCGTGTCTCCTCTCCTCCCATTTGTGTCTTCTTGTTCCTTTCCTTTTTTCTCTCCTCTCTTGTCTCGGCTTATTTTGTTTTCTCATTCCTTTTCCCGTTTGTCTCCTCTCTCCTATATCATTGTTTCCTCTCCTCCTCTCTCCTCTTTTTGTTATCCTCTCTTCTCTTCTCTTTTTCTTTTCTTTTCCTTTCCTCTCCTCTACCGTCTTGCTGTCTTCTATTTCCTTTCTGTCCTCTTTTCTGTCTTTTTTTGTTTACCTCTCCTCCCCTCTCCTCCTAATCTTCCTTCCCATTCCTTTCTCCTTTCCTCTCCCCTAGCTGTATTACCTCTCCTCTTGCCTCCTCTTTTCTTGTCTTCTTTGTCTTCTGCTTTCCTCTTTTCTCATCCTGTCCTCTCCAGTCTCCATTTTCTTTCCTTTATTGTCCCTTTACATTCATTTTGCTCATCCCTAGCTGTCTTCTTTTCCTTTTCTCTCCCCTTTCTTTCTCCTCACCCCAGACTTCTTCTCTTATCATCTCCTCACTTTTCCCCACCTCCTCTCTGTCCATGTTTCCTCTCCTATCCTTTCTTTCTTCATCCATCTTCTCCTCGTTCCCTTTCCTCTTCCTCCCACTCTCTCTCTCTCGTAGTGCCCTCGTTTTCTATCTAATACCTTCCTCTCATCTCTCATTTCATTTCTCTCCTCTTTCTTATCCTCTCGCCTCCTGTTTTCTTCTTCTTCCTTTCCTTCTCTCCTCTTCTCACCCCTGTACATCTCCTCCCGTTGTTTCATTTGCGCTCCTCTCTTGTCTTTCCTCTCCTCATCCCTGTCTCTCCCCTTTCCCTTTCTCTTCTTCCCACTCTCTCTTGCAGTGCCCTCCTCTCCTGTCTAATACCCTCCTCTAATCACTCATTTTATCCCCCTCTCCTCCCTTCTCTCTCTCTCTCTCCTCAAATTTCCCAACCTTTTCCATACTCTTCTTCTCCTTCAAACATCTCTTCCACTCTTCCTCTCTTCTCCACGCATCTCCTACTCTTTCCTCTCTCTTAGTCTCTCTCTCTCTCTCTCTCTCTCTCTCTCTCTCTCTCCTCCACCTCCTCTCTCTATCTCTATTCCAGCAGTAGAGAATCGCTGAGCAGCAGCAGCAGCAGCAGCAGTGTCACTCAGCACGCCAACGACTCGCATGAAAGTGAGGACCTCTGTTTCTCTTTTTCTTTCTCTTTCTTTTCATGTTTTTATTTTGCATCGCTTCCTCCCCCTCGTCCTCCTCCTCTTCTTCCCATTCACTCTTTTTTTTCTCTTTCCCTCATTTCTTCTCTACTTTTCAGTCTTTTTTTCTGCCACATTGATCTTTTTCAGAGTGCAGCAGTATGAGGGTACTGTGCATTCCAAATACTGTAGGTTTTCTGTGCTTGCTCCAACTAGCATGTAGCCATATGCTTTTCTTTTTTTCTTTCTTTATTTTGCATCTCACTGGAAATAAGTGGGTCAGTCTTATAGCTTTAATACAGCATGTTAACCTCTGGGCTCAGATGTGCTTATGAATGGGTATTTTAGCACGCATTACTTTAAAAAAAATCCTAACTTAAGTCATGCAAATTTTTCTCGCAGTGGCAGATGTGTTGCGGCATGAATGCTGAGATGAAGCATGTGTATTTCAGGGTACAATATTATTAAATATTGTCCATAGCTGTTAGTGCTGTGGGGATTTGAGACATGCATGTTTAATATTTTATTTTGAGAGACAGCTAATTTGTTAAAAAAAATATTTTGAAGCTGGAGAGGATCTTCTGAAACCCCAGAGACAGCTTTTGATTTCTCTTTGGCTGATTCTTTCATTGGATTTCTATTCCTTTTATTATTTTTATACTTTCTGTTATTTTCTCACTGACACTCTGTCTGTGGTGACCGCACTGGAGGTACCAAAAAAATGGGGATCAAAATGTCAGTCATTTAACCAAGATGGACTTATCGGATGTACTGACTCCTGTAATGGCCACGATGCCAGCCACTTTATCACCAAACTCTTCTCTGGAGAACCAGACGTCCTCTTCCTCACCGAGATCTCCTTCTCTACCTCCTCACTCGCATGTTGCGTCAGTGTTCATCGTGTTGGTGGTCACAGTCATCATCCTGGGGACTGTGGTTGGTAATGTGCTGGTCGTGGTGGCAGTGTTCACCAGCAGAGCCCTGAGGGCGCCTCAAAACCTCTTCCTGGTCTCTCTGGCTTCAGCGGACATACTGGTGGCGACACTGGTCATCCCTTTCTCCTTGGCTAATGAGGTAAGGAAACAGTTTGTTCAGACTCCACTGTACGACATATTTGCAGCTGGTATTTACATGCAATCTGTATCCGGATAGCTTATCTGAACAAGGGAAAACACACATTGCAGGTGCAAATGCAGTTTGAGCGCATTGCAATTAGTTCGGCCACAGACGATCTAGAGATGGAGGCTGGAGGCTCACATTGCGATCAGATGCAAATGGCGTCTGTGTAGTTTGGCCACATCCCAGCAGAAGTTTCGGACAAATTTTGACCCCATGTTGGCTCTTGATGAAAAGTTTGGGAATCACCAAAGTTCACAAAGGCCATGAATGTCTGAACCAAATTTCATGGTAATCCATCCATAAGTTGTCAAGAAATTTCAGTTAACACCATAAATATCAACCTGCCATTGGCATAGCAGGAGAAGTCAGAGGCTCACCAAAATCCTTAGATTACATCCTCTGGGGACCATGGATAGCTCTACTAAATGTCATGCTGATCCATCCAATAGTTGTCAAAACATTTCACTAAAAACCAACCAAAAATATCCACATCATGATGGCACTATAGAGAAAAAGTCACAAGGTTTCCTCCTCTGGGGACAATAAATGAGACAGCCGGGACCAAAGTGGTGAACCAATAGACTCCAATCCCTAGAGCCATGCCAACCCGTTCTCACTCCCAAGTTGTCACATATGGACGCATGGTGAGCGCCAGGCAGCTAGACACCTTAGCATCCATTTTTAACACATAGGGGGCCTCATATTTCAGCGCACTTAGGGGAGCCCTGTATACCGTCGTATGTCAACGCTACATGTAGGTGTGTGATATTTAACAGACAAGTCTGAGTAAGGACGCGGGTGGTTGGGACAGAAACCAGACCTTCAACCAGGAGAGCAATGTTTGTTTCCCATGTGAAACAAAAAGTCAACATTGAACGCTTATATTTAAGTTACGTAGGTTGTGTAAGTTACACAGGAAATGTTACTTAACTAAAGTAACTTTAGTGACGTAAATAACATTATTTTAAACCTAACCAAGTATTTTTGGTGACTAAACCTAAACAAATGTGAAGTTTGACAAAGTTAACAACGTGCCGTTTCACAAACTACTAGTTTTATTTTGAAAGTCTAACTGGATGTTGCATATTTATTGTTGCTAACTTTCCCGCAGAGCCAGGTCGTTAAAAAGTGATGCTAAAGGGTCTTGAACAACAAGTTGAAACGTCACCTGACTCCACCTCTTCCTGCTATCTCAACGAGTCAAGCTCTTCCTCTGCAAGGAAAAAAATAAGTAGAACCCACAAAGCAAGATCGCTAACTTTTTCATTCAGACCCAATCGCAATGTGGAAGGAATTGAGATGATGTCAACATCCAGATGACTTGATACTGATCAGATGTTAATACCAGATGGAAAATGAGCTTCTGGTGTTGGTTTGAGTTTGTGTGACAAATCTGATGACAGCAAGTATAAACTGTGTTTGTGGGTCAATGAAATCCACCAATGGGCAAAACTTCAGTGTTCACTGTGTGATGTAAATTAAGCATAACACCACTTTCAAGACAACTGATAATCCATCCAACTTTATTCAGTGGTGATATTTTTTGGTGATGGCAAATTAAATTCAAACACCTCATGCATTTACTACATTATACTTTGATATCCCCAAGAGGTTTATGGTTCCCTGTGTTGAAAAATAGTTTTTCATGCGTTCACGCTGTAACTCTAATGAAATTAAAACCTCTGAGTTGTCTGAATGACTGGAAGGGAATGGTTGATGCTGTTTGGAGAAATGTTCACATTTTGCTTTGAAGTGTTATTTGTCTGTTACAACACGTTCAATTAATTTGGACGAATCGTTAAACATAAAAGAAGCCACACTTCTTCCTTTTAGGGATGTCTTCTCTGTTGCAGTAAACAGCCTATATTTTAGGAGATTTAGGCTGTGAACATTGACTTGTTTACTACTTGGTGAGCGTCTACTTGATGTAAAGCTCTCTGATGTCTCTTTACTGAGCTGTCCCTCGCTTTTCATCAGCTATTAAAGGGGATGGGTTAAGCGATTCTAATCCAATAGATGTTTGTTTTTTTTGTCAAATTCAGTAAATATCTCCTCGGCCCACTAGCTGTCTGTTCTGTGTGCTGAAAAGGAAACCGGTGTCTGGACCTACACAGCCATAGCTCTGTAAATGGTAAATGAACAATGTGGCCTCCCCCCCCGCCACACAACACTGTTCCAGCCATTCCAGACTTGATTTGTGTGTCAGGTAACATTAAATGACTTGCCCACAGACATTCAGCTTACCTTCTAGTTCGCCAAGACATGCTGATGTTGTGGTGTCACTGTCTGGTGTGCTGGCCACCCTCTCTCATGTTAGCTTTGCAGCAGCAATTGTAACAATAGTACGCAAACATTTGTTACATAACCTGCTGTGTAGTTGTTTTATCATGGCATATGTCATGGTGTTTCTCCAGAATCGCTTACTCCACCTTTAATATTTGAAATTTCCCTGCAGCTTCTTCTGTGTTGCATTAAACATATACACATTCTGTCTGGTTTACTTATGATCTGACTGATCTGTAATTGAACTGGATGTCATCGTGTTACTTCTCTGTCCCCTGTTTTCCCCTGAGCTAATGAGCTGTTGGTTATATAATACCACCTAAATGAGGGGAGTCATTATATCAGTTATTATGACAAACTGTAGAACGGTCTGAGACTAAAATAAAGGGATGGCAATGTCTGTTAGTTGGTCCACGACTAAAATATCTCAAGAACTCTTGCATGGATTGTAGGGCTGGAAAATAAAACAATAACAATAATTATCACGATATAATGTTTAATAAATATTCAATAGATGTTTGATTTTATTCACTTGAATCATACACGAATTAGACACAAAACAATTTTTTATTAAGATGTTTATTTGGTTGAGGAAAAAGGACTGAAAAAAGCTTTTACTTAATTTTACTTTGCTGACAAAGATTTTATCATAATTGTTTTGAATGTTCCATCTGTTAGGCATCAAGGGTCGACCATAAAGAAGAGTTTAAACCACAATCAACCATCAGCTTTTATTCACTTCCCTTTCTCTCAGGAGCATAAATCAGCCTTTAAACTCCCATAAAATAACGATTTGTGACTTATCGTGATAATTATCGATATTGAAACTTGATGTCATTTTTGGCCATATCGTCCAGCCATAATGGATTGCAATGTAGTTTTGGTCCCCACATTACTGGTTCCACAGGGTTAATACTACTGACTTTGGTGATCCATTGACCTTACCTTTAGCGCCACCATGAGGTAGACATTTGTGGTTTGCTGTGAAATTAGACATTCACGCCCCCGTCATGATAAAATGTAATAACTTTGGTGATATTCTGACTTCATCTAGCGCCATCATCAGGCCAAAACTTCTATTTGACATGTACTTTTTTTATGACCAAACACTTGCACAACTAATGACATTCCCATCAGTGTCAGGTGCACTTTGTATGTAGTGTACAAAAAAACGAATTCTGACATGCTAAACTATGGTAAACAATCTCCTTGCCTAACATCAGCATGTTACTGTGAGCAGGTTAACATAAGCATCACTGTCTCACAGAGTTTTTCTAGTATTGCTGTAGACTCTTAGTATTGTTTTCCCCTCCCCTGATTAATAAGTAAATCATTGATAAAATGTCAAAAATAGCAAAATCATCCATCACAAGTTCCCAGAGCCCAAGGTGACATCTTCAGATTGCTTGTTAGGGCTGATCAAAAGTCATAAACACAGATATATTCAATTTACAATTGCATAATTGCATACAAATGCATAGTTTGTTGTCTGTTTATGTAATGTGCTTATGTAAAAAAGCAATTTGAGGCACGTTGATTATTTTCCTGCCAAACATGAATATCAGTAACGGCCTAAAAAATCTAGCATCAGCTGGACTCTATTTACAATAATATTACAGAGATCATTTAGGAAGGTGAAACCAGAGAAAGCTTAGCTTTGTAAAGGATAACGATGAATTGATTATCAAAATTGTTGTTGATTACTAATTAATTGTTTCAGCTGTAATCAAAACTCCTATGACGTTCTCAGGAAAACCAAAGGCAAAAGTTCCAATAGTTCCCTCTCAGTCTTCCTCCAAACTTTAAAAGATCCTCATTTCAAAGCATCCAAAACCATAAACTGGAAATGAAGTTCCCCAGAAAGCAAATGCGATATTTAGCCAAGCAACTGCACTGCAGCTAAGAAAGTCCAATATTTATTTTTTATCACCTGCCAGTGAGGAAAATACAGGTGATGAAGAGGTAAATATTATACTTTTCAACTTTAGACAGACCTCATTTTGATTGCAGAGCACATGCTGTGGAGGAACCTGATGGATATTTTAGTTTCTTGTAGCTGTGAAAAGATTGTCGACTTAAATAATTTTCCGAGAGGACTGATATGAAACCACAGGGGAAAACTCACTGAGAGGTTTTCTACAAACTAAATACAGTTGCAGTCAACATGGTAGTAATGAGATATTGACTGATTTTTTTATTTCAAGGTGAAACAATCCTTTAGGCACCTCACACAAGGCCTCCATGACTGGCTGACTGGAAACAAACGCTTTTTCTTTTCCTCTGCATTACTGGTGCTGAAAAGCACCTCATCATTAACTGGTTTCTCCTCTTTGCAGGTCATGGGGTACTGGTACTTTGGTTCCACCTGGTGCTCCTTCTACCTGGCTCTTGACGTCCTCTTTTGCACTTCCTCCATCGTCCACCTCTGCGCCATCAGCCTGGATCGCTACTGGTCCGTCACTAAAGCCGTCAGCTACAACCGTAAACGGACTCCTAAACGGATTAAGGCTATGATCAGCATCGTGTGGCTCATTTCCATTGTCATCTCCTCTCCTCCGCTCCTCATGACGCAGAAAGAGGAGGATTTGGAGACGGAGGAGGAGAGCAACACACGGAGGCAGGAGTGTCTTCTCAACAACCAGACGTGGTACATCCTCTCCTCCTGCCTCGTGTCCTTCTTCGTCCCGGGGGTCATCATGATACTCGTTTACTGTAAGATCTACCGTGTTGCCAAACAGCGAGCCTCCACCGTGTTTGTGGCGAAGAACGTGGTGGAGAGGCAGCCATCACAGTCTGAGACCTGCTTTGTGGGCACAGCCAGGACTTGCCAAAGAAAGGGAGCCAGCTGCGGCGAATCCCAGTATGAGCTGGACAGCCCGCGGCCTGCATACCGACACAGCTCTTCCAACATAGACAGCAACAGCAGCAGTCAAAGGAGAGGAGAGCTGGATGATATTGACTTGGAGGAGAGGAGCTGCGAAGCTGATATAAAAACATCCTCCTCCTTTTCCTCGGCTCTTCGCTTCCCCAGGAGAGCCGCAGGAAGTGTAAAAACAGAGGAGGGGAAGGACGCAGAGGGAACCACAAACAGGTTGAAGCCTCCTCCTCCTCCTCCTTCCTGCGCCTCCATATCATGGGCATCATCCGACCACTGCTCCCACCACTTCCTCCTCCCCTCTCCAGTGCCTGTCCGCAGCAGACAGATGTCCATGTCCAGAAACAAAGTGGCGCAAATGAGGGAGAAGCGCTTTACATTTGTTTTGGCTGTGGTGATGGGGGTTTTTGTCCTCTGCTGGTTCCCATTTTTCTTCACTTACAGTCTCCACGCTGTCTGCAGAGAGAACTGCACGATCCCTGATACACTCTTTAACCTGTTTTTCTGGATCGGATACTGCAACAGCTGCCTGAACCCCATCATATACACCATCTTCAACCGAGACTTCAGGAGGGCCTTCAAGAAGATTTTATTTGAGACTCATAAACGAACATAAGATGTGAATGTCTGTGTGTGTGTGTGTGTGTGTGTGTGTGTGCACACAGTTTTAATCCTGTTTTCCACTGTGCTGTCATACCGACATTAAAGGGCTTGTCATACAGCCTGAGTATTGATTTATTATTCAACTACTCACTGATTTATTAAATCATTACTTTCTATTCTAGTGTAAATGAGCCAGAAGAAGATGATGACACACTAATGCAGTGACAAAAGGGTTTCAAACTCTGCTTCCTTGATGCAACATGAGTTCAACTTGAACTTGAAAATTAATTAGAGGAAAATGGCCACAGGGCAGTGAACTACATCCCCGCAGAGCTCCAAGATGTCTGTGCACTGAAGCAAGCAGGCTGACTGACTCTTCAATTATCATGTTGACAAAAAAGTTGAGTTACAAGGAACTGCAAAAAACCGACACGCACTTTGAAAAATAAACAATGACTTTTTAATAGATTTCTGTGCCTCAGAGTCATTTAACACCAGCAGCACCTAAAGACTGAACTTAAACTAAAGCAGAAATAAAAGAACAGGAAACAGAATGAACGCTACCTGTTTTTCACAAAGTAGCAACGCACTGTTGACACTCCACAGCTCGGGGGCAAAAACATAAAAAATTCATGTGCAGCTAGCAGATGGGCTGACTGAGAGGGAGGACAAAAGAGAAAGAAAGGGAGAGGGAAGAAAAGAGAGAGCCTAACTACACTCGGGCGTCAGAATAAATGTAATCAACCTCAGGCTCACACAACGATAGATGATTATCCTCTGAAGCTCAGGATGAGATAACTAGAAGGGCTGCTGTGGGCTGAACACGTCCCTACTGTTGAACCTGACTGGTTGAGAGCTGAACCCTGAGCTGACCCGGAAGAACACATCATTATGATTTAGGGGTGTGGAAAATAATTGATTTTTACTTGCATCGCAATGCGGACGATTATGAATCAATTCACAAATGTCAATAATCGATTATCTAGAGGTTAATTGATAACGTAATGTTAAAGGAACGAAAAAGGCGGAATCTGTCAGGATCAGTCCTCCATAAGGCTGCAGTAGGTGACTGTAAAAGCAGCGGAGCAGACGAAAAGATGAGCACTACGCTTCAGTCTGGCAGTAAATGTACAGCGTAGGTCACAGCGTGTCTGTTAAGTAGTAGTCTGTCTGTTGTTTTCTAATTGCTGGATAAGTTAAGGCAGTTATAACTAACCTTAGCTAACATCTCCTCTTCAGACTGCGGTCTGGTAGCTGAGCAGGATGCTTTTCGGCTGCTAGTTCAATTTAATTTGTTGTCATTCATCCACATATCGAGTACACAATGAACCCAATGCCGTTTCTCAAGGCCCATGGTGCTCAATACAAGATTAAAATAATACACTTACAAGACAAGAAACAAACATGTCACAAAAAAAAGAGCAGATATATTAAGGTGCAGTAATAAAAACAGCAGCAGCAGAGGTCAGTAATAATAATGTAATAATGTAATGCAATGTTACCTACATTTATATGAAGTAACATTAAATATATGCATTTCATTACTACCTACTTCTTTGGATTGTTACAAATGCTTTGCTTTAAAAGTACCAAGTATTCACACAGTGAGAAAAATACATCTTTATCCTATTTGTTTTACAATCGCATCTTAGCACTCATAATCTTAATGAGGTGCACAGAAATTCCCACTCTTGAGGTGATGCATCGCGATGCATTGAGGAATCGAACCAAACTGAAAACCTGATAATCGTAATTGTAATCGAATCGAATCGTGAGACCACTGAAGATGCACACTCCAATTATTAATATAATTGGTCATATTATGCTCATTTTCACATTCATAATTATATTTAGGGGTTGTATCAGAATAAGTGGTTTAATTTTCAAAAAGCACCATATTTTTGTTATACTGCACATTGCTGTACCTCTTTTCACCTTGTGTGTTGAACGTTTTGTTTTAGCTGCCGAGTGAAGCATCGCACTTCTTCTATTCCATCTTTTCTTGGGAGCTGCACATGTACAGTACATAGGTAAGAACTACTTGCCAATCAGAAGCAGAGTAGCGCCGCTCCTGACAAGCAAGGTAGTGGGATCCAAAACAAATCGCTAAAGCCGGTAAACACACGGCTTCGGTTCAGCCCTACATGTTTGAGCCCGAGTCTGATCCCGAAACACAGGCAGAATAACCCGAAGCAGCTTTGCAACCTAGACTGGGGCAAGTAGTTTCAGAGACGTTTTAACTGTGCACTGCCTCTGCGTCGACTGCCTGGAGGGTATATCATGTTATTTGCCACACTAGCTAGATAGTTTACAGAAGTAAAGGCTGGACTACAATTGAGCTGTTTTCAGGCAGTTCAGGAGCAGTTTTATCTGTGGGAGATAGTAACTCCCTTTGGTGTGGACTTTTTCACTTTGTAAACCTATTACACGAACAAAAAAATATGTAACACTAAAGGAAAGGAAAAAAAGCCACAAAGCATAATATGACCTCTTAATTAATCACTTTACGCAGATTGTGTAAATGGTCGTCCGTCGTCTGTTGCCTTTAATTTGGAAAGAGACTGAGATGATATTCATTCAAGATGCTTTTATCTTTTCAAACACAAACCACAGATAGTGTCGGTGGTGCCGACAAGTGTTGGTGGTGACAGAGCAGAGCGAGCAGCTACTCCAAGGCCACAAGTGTTGTTATATCATTCTGGTTGCTATGCAACAGAGTTTGAGAGTAACTTGAACATTGTGTAATTAACTAATTAACTGCAATAATAAAGAGGATAACGCTGTTGAAAACAAGGCCAAAAAAAAGAGACCACTGCATATTTGAGTCCAGAGCATATTATCTCTCTCTCAGTTTAAGAGTAAATAGTTTGCATGAGTTAAGAGTGCAAAATGAAGATCATCATATCATCATACAAAGCAGCTTGCTACAAAAACATGCTCATGTGACTGCTGAAGCCTCATATTAACTTCAGAATGTCCAAGGGTCTGTCGACAAACTGAGAAGCCCCTGATTTTTTTTTTTTATATATATAGAATGAAGAGTGTGGATTTCACTTACATTGGAAGCAATGTTTTTTATTGTTTTAAAACCAACTTGAAAAACTGGGGAAGAAACAACTTGGTATTCTCCATGTTTGAGATTTTTGCCAGTATGATCGGAGAGTATCATGAATTCAGACGGGGACAATAAAACTTTTCCTCAATTCTTCTCTACAGTTGAATTGTCGGCATCATAATTTCTACCTCCTGTTGATGCCAGATACTTTTGGACACGCATGTAGGTCAGTATATTTGGGGTCAAAGTTCAACTTCAGTTAATTTTGATGCACAAAATGGAGGAAGATCTACGTAAAGCATCTGTTTTAGTTCGCACAGATGCTCTCTCCTCTGCACAACGTTGAGTGCTTTTGGTGTGAACAGGATATTTTTGCCATTTCTATGCTTTAAAGTCCAAGCAGGTCACATATTAAATTAATTATATAAACAGTTGCAGTGAAATAGTCTCATTGAGACAGAATTAAATTTATTACCGCTTAGGTCTTGGTGACATTGTGCACACCAAAGTAAGGGATGAGATCTGGGAACAAGGCGACATTGCTTCAGTGATCTCCAACAGGGCAACATGAGCAGTTGCACCACCAGACAATACTATTTACACATTCTAAACCACTTTATTTAGCAAAAGTAAAACTATAATCTTTGTAACAAAACCCTAATTGCAGAGGGAAACTGTTCATGCAGGACTTCAGTAAGTACGGCAAGTCAAGGTTGAAGTTGGTCTGTAATTTTTACAGGGTAAAGGGTTACAGTGAACAGTTAGGGTAGAATTTTTCTGAATTGCACAACAACAACTAGCTTGCAGTTCATCAAATTACTGTTCACATTACTGGGTTTTCTAAAAATCTCGGTCCCAGTCTGTGTCAAACAGAGATTTACAGAGTTTACATTTAACACACATTTGACAATAACAAATTTCCAAGAGAATACAGTGTCATAATTGTTTCCATGACAATTCGGCTAATTGATGGTTGTGATGGCCTCAAATCATCAGCATTGCTGCATTTGTCCTGTGGCAAAGAAACAATGCTTCATCACCACCTTCAGTTTAGCTGGAAGAGCATTACTGCGTAAAGTCAGTGGTGAGATGACAACCCTCACCAACTCGCTGGCAAAGATCATGTCTGCGCTGTCTGACCCCGTCTACTTAACTGTGCGTCGTCAAATAATTTAATCCAATTCAATTTTATTTATATAGCGCCAAATCACAACAACAGTTATCTCACAGCGCTTTCCATAAAAGAGCAGGTCTAGACCGTACTCTGTGATGTTAGATTTAGAAACATTCTTCCTCTCCTGAAAGATTCGTGCATGTCTGTCTCCACAGCGCCATCACAAGTACCTACTGGCACCTCCTAACCACTTGAGAGATCTCTCGAGCTGTCTTAAATAACTGCGAGAGTAAGAGTGATTCTTAGCTTTAAGAAATTTAACTTGAAAGTAGGAGTAAATTTAATGAATTCTCAGCACTTAAGACTAAAATGGCACTTTGGGAAACTTGATAAATACCGTCCCTGAGTACCACTGAGTAAATCGATATAAATGCTTGACCCATAGCCCTCGCACCTCCAAGCATCAAAAAAACGGAGGAGGAGCTAGTTATCTCCATTGAAAAGAATCGATTCTGCAGTGAGTTTAATGCATCACTTCATGTCATGTTTTGATTGGTTAGTTTGTAAAAGTGGTTAGTAGTAGCCGTAACGTTGTGAGATCTTGGTCCTAAATTGTCTGCGGTTGCTGCTCTAAATTGGTTGTTGGTGGACATCACATGCCGCTTTCTGATTGACAACTCAATTTATCCTCAGCACTGCACCGTGTCAAGTTGTTTCTAATTTCACCCATCTACTGTCTATAATTTTGGTAGAGGCCTATAATGTTTGTTTTTGTGAGTAGCATTGATGGAACTACAACTTAACACAATAAAATGATAAATAAATCTACATTTGACCTTATCAATAGAGCCAAACAAATTTTGCGTTTTGCAGATATTATCGGCCGATAAGCTACTTGCGGATATATCTGCATCAGCGTTTATAACAGCTGATAT